GGGGGGGGGGGTTTGACCGGTAAACTGCCCCTCATCGTGTTTATTTGCTGAAGTGGCCTCTCCAGGGGCGGATATGGATAGAAGGAAGGAAGCCAGGAGGTGCCCAAGCAGCTTCTGATTAAGGATACAACTACCGAAATAGATTTGTCTCATCACTTAGTGATAAATGTGAAGTGATTCGCTAAGTTTATTCATTTTCTCGGCATGTGTTGGAGTATAACCATTCATAAGACAACCATCAATTTCATGATGGATTGCCACTTTCAGGTAATTCAGTACCATTGAACGACCGTTGGTTCCGATGCGGAAGCCTTGGAAGTTCAGTAGTTCAGTCAATTTTTTGTTACAATTACTATGATCCAGCCGCGTTAGGGACTCTGTCGCGATTACTGATACCCTCTCCTCTATGGGTTTGTAGTTTCTGTTTCCATGCGAGTGCTTTCGGTTGTTCGCTTTGTAGTTAAGCAGGTGCACACTGACAGGCCAAGTGAGATTAGCAGAAAATGCATCGATCAGTATCACTTATCCTGACCGCATCAGGTATTGAGTGTGTTCCTGTAAAACCATCAGTCCAGCCAGTTATGGAGAAATGTAATACTTTTTACTAATTCACAACCCTATACTACCATACAACTTCTTGATTTGACTTGATAGAAATGAGTTCATTCAATTTGTCCTTCGTCCTCTTAAGGTGATTGTTTTATTCCAGTGGAGGGCATTAAGTTCATCTACGGAGTGCGTGTTTAAACTCAAAGGGACACGATATGATGGAAGTTGTTTGGCAGTCTTCCGGCCAAAAATGGTGGTGAAATGGGGCTCATTTAATGAAACGATTTGTCACTGAGAACCACTTGAAATAAGGATAGACTTTGAACTGCTGCTCAAATGTATTGGTTATGCTAACTTCCTGTGAGATTAAATACACAAAGTAAAGCATCACTTAGGAGCGCTTGAATTGGAAACAAGGTCATGTGAGCAGAGTGATATTTTTACACATGTGGTTTGTGAAGTAGTCATTGCCGAGGGGGAAGATAGGAGTAACAGAGATAAGAGAGGCGAAGTTCGGGCTGTATTTGTCTGTGTGATGTCAGGTGAAAGACACGCGAGCGGAGCGGGCAAATGCAATTAGGCTGTTTACGACAGAGTGGTGGTGAAATGCGAGAACGGAATGAATAATATTGAGCGTAGATTGGAATACATGCTCATGTGGAAGAAACAATGTATGACCACTCCTTCGTTCACAAAGGAAAAGCTATTTTTAGGAAGAAAAATGGGTAGAAGAGGAAAGTTTTGCACCCAGAGACGGATGGTAACACAACCGATCGAATAAATGCATGTGATACAGTTCAGAATTGGTTGTCAAGCATATATCATACAGA